ATTTGTCGTAAATTGTTTATAACTTTTTATAAGATAAACAATACAGACGGAAACAAATCAGAAAAAATTTTTATTTTTATAGCAGTGGGGGGAGGGGAGGGGGTGAAAATATCGTCTGATATCTAATGTCGTTTGTTTGTTTGTTTGTTTTTTTTCAGGGAAAACGCGACGGATTTAGAAAAATTTCATTATAAAATATCAAGATATCAATTGTACGAAAAAGATGAACCTCTAGTCTCAAAAGTTTTAGATTTAATGGCGACCGTTCCGATTGTTCACGTGGGTAAGTAAATTTAATATTATTATTTTTTTCAAGTCTAACGCCACGTTTGAAACCGAAAAAAAATTTTTTCCTTTTTTTTTTCGAAATCGTAAAAACTCGTTTTTTTGAATATTTAAATTCGTTCCAAGGCGATCATCAATGGTAATAAAAAATTATGTTAAATAAGTGAATTTGTCTTTTTTTATCCTTTTTTCTCTTTCTTATTCGAACACCCTCTCTCTCTCTCTCTCTCTCTCTCTCTTTCTTTCTTTTTTAATTTCAATTAATCGTTCGTCATTATTTATTTTTATTTTTTTCATATTGCAAACGTGGCGTTTAAGATTTTTCTCTCGTATAAATAAAAACAAAAATTTTTTTTTTTTTGCTTGTGTGTTTGTCTTCTGCTTGTTGAAATCGTTGAAAAATAAATTTAAAAACAAAAACGTCAAGGGGGAAATAAAATAAGGTGGAAGATTTTCTACCTGAAAATTTAAATGTTGCGAATAATTTTTTATTTTTATTTTCACACACTCACGCACGCATACGCACGTTTTTTTTATTTACTTTCTTGTTATTTTATACGCAATTTATTAAATTTAACGTTTTAATAATTTACAAAAAAATAAATAAATAATATTTTTTTTGTTATTACAGAGCAAAAAGAAGGTGGAACACAACTAAAGCTTATTATAGACTATAAAAACACAATGCAAGCTTTATTTAAACCCATGAGGTATGTTTAATATTTATTATTATTATTATTATCTCAAGGTATAACTTTAATTTATAACTTCTTTAAAAAAAAAAAAAAAAACTTTAAGAATATCGTCTGCTACCACTCCCACACATTTTCCTTTTGCTCTTTTAATAAAAATAAAATAAATTTTTTTTTTTTTGGAAAAAATAGCGAGAAAAAAATTTTAAACGATATTTTTAAAAAGTTTTAATTTTTTTCGTTTGACAAAAACAACTTTAATTGTTTAAACAATTTCGAAATGTTCCCTTCCCCTCCCCCCTCTCCATAAATTATTTATTATTGCGATATTTATTTAAAATCGAATAAATCAATAATTTATTTAAAATGAGACGTCGATAATTAATTTTTTGGTTGATGACACGAATGAATTATGCGATTTTAATTCGTTAAAAAATTGATTGGGGAACCTGATGAAATCGCGGATGATTATGATGATGGAGAAGGAGGGAAAAAGGGGAAAAATGTGGGAAAGAAATAGGAGAAAAAAAAGGGGTGGAAGTGGGAATAAAGAGGAATGAATGAGTTAATGGCAAAAAAAAAATGTTGATATGGTTTTTTTTTTTTTTAAATACGACTTAAAAGTTAAAGTGTTTGTTTTTAGCAGACGAAATTTTTAGCCAAAATTGCTACTTTTAACATCGTATTAAAAAAAATTTAAAATAACGTAAAAAAACACGTGGTTCGAACCTTTTTTTCGGTTAAAATAACATATAATAAAGTCGCGAGTTTTTATTTATTTATTTATCTTGTCAATCGAGCGATAATTTCTTATTGATAAAACAATCAAAATGTAAAAAAATAACAAGGAGATATAAACGCTCACGTTAAAATTCAGTTTCTTACGTTGCAGTGGTGATGACGACGATTGACGACTAAACGATAATAATAACGACAGCTTCTTTTTTTTTTTTTGTTTCCGTTTTGCCATTACGGTGCGTTTGATAGACCGTAATTTATGTTCAATGGAACATAAAACAAAGGAAAATAAAATTTAACAATGGAAAAATGTTATAAATTTCATAATTTATTTTTAATTTAAAAGAGAAAAAAAAATGTTTAACGTGAAAACATTGGAAAAATCATTAATTTCTTTATAAAGGTTGTTTCAAAGGAAACAACAAAATTGTTTTTTTCCTTTGATCTCGCTTTAATTTAATACAAAAATAACTGATAAATATTATTATTATTATCATCATCATCATCGATTTTCAATTTTACTAAATGCCGTACCTGGATTTAATTATAATTAACGTGTGAAATTTGATTATTGAAAAAATTAAAGACTTGTTTTTTGTACTCTTTGATTTTTAACGTGTAATTAGACTTTTTTTTTAAATTTTACATTACGAGTTTTATAATTGAACATAAATAATTTTTTTAAAACGAGAGAGACAGAGAAAAAAAAAGTAATCATGGATAAGTAGCCTCCGTTTTTTTTTTTTTTTTGTGATAGTCGTGGTCGTAGAACCAAAAAAAAAAAGTGAAAACGGTCAAAGTTCAAAATTAATAATAATAATAATAATTAACGCGATTTGTTTTTAAATAAACGAGTAAAAAAAGGAATGAATGGGAAGTTTAAAAAAATAAAAATAAAAAAAGAGTTTGACTGGTGGTCTGATGCCACTTTTTTTTAAAATTTAAATTCAACTCATGTTTATAAAAATAACGCGTAAAAAATTTTTTTAAATTTCATTTTTAGAAGAAAAGTACTAATAATAATAATAATAATAATAATGAAAGAGAAAATTTTGAGTGAAATTTTTAGTCTGCCTGGAATCGTTTTTTTGTTTGTTTGTTTGTTTAAAGATTGTTGAAATAAACTTTAAAAAAAAAAAAAATTTTAATAATAAATCGACCTTAAAGACGACAACAACGACAATTTTTAGAATCGCCAATAAGGAGGAGGAGAAAGAGGCGGAAGAGAAAGAGGGGGAGGAGGAAGGGAGGTGGATCTGAGGAAAATAAAAAACGATGAATTTTCCTTCCTTTTTTTTTCTTTTTTATTTATTACAACTTTTGAATTATTTTTTTTTTTAAAAATGCATTCGTAGTTAAAAAAAAACTTTTTGATTCGTTTTTTCTAAACTTTACTTTTTGAATTCGATTCTAAAAAAAAGTTTATAAAAAAAAAAATTATTAATATTCCGGTACAAAAGTTTTATACGGCATTTTACGTTTTAACTTTTCATACCCTCTCGGTTATCTTCTACCACGTTTAAATTTACTTTTCGTATATTTGTAAAAAAAAATGTTAACGAGTTTAACGAATCAATTTGTTTATTTACTCTATGAAAAATAAATTTCAAAAAAAAAAAAAAAGCTCAACAGTTATCATTTGGCTTCTTTCTCTTTCTCTCTCTCTCTCTCTCTCTCTTTCTCCTTTTTTCGAAAAATCGATTTCCTTTTAATAAAGGTTTTTTTTTTATTGAAAAATCAACGAAAATAAACAAACAAACAAACAGAAAAATAAATAAATAAACAACACCATTTTAACGTTGGATCAATTAATTTAAAAATAAGTGGATGATGGTAATGATGATGATAATAATGATTATTAGAAAAACATTATTAAAAAAAAAAAAATTTAAACACGAATGATTTCAATTGTAAGAAAAAGAAAAAAAAATAAAAGGATGGTTTAATATATATAAGAAAAATAAACAATATTTGTTAAAGGTAAAAAAAAAAAGGAAAAAAGGAAAAAAAAGGTTAAAAAGATCGGAAATGAAAAGAAGAAAATGGAAAATGAAAAAATATTGCTCAGCTTTCAAAATTTCCATTTTATACAAATCATTTTACCTTCTCTTTTTTATATAGTAGTAGTATCTTAACCCATCAAATCCTCTCACTCTCTCTCTCTTTTCTCACTTTCTTTTCCTCTTTCTCTCTCTCTCTCTTCCTCCACTTCTTCTATCTTTCTTTTTTTATTTTTTTTTTAGTTTTTTTTTTTTTTTTTACTTATTTATTTTTTTGTGCTTGATTCACGCTTTTTCCATTTTGACTTCAAATTACTTTTTAAATAAGTTGTGAGTATTATAAAAGATCCTGTTGACGTATTGACATTTCTTTTTATATATATATAAAAAAAAAAAATCACTTTTCTACTGCTTACTTAGTAAAAAAAAAAAAAAAGAAAATTTTCACTTTTCATTTGTTTTAAAATAAGAAAAACAAAGAGAAAATTATTTATTCTTTTCATTTTAATATGAAAAATTTTTTTACTTATTTATTTATTTATAAGTTTTTTCTTTCTCAAATGAAAAATCCTTAAATGTTTTACCCCCCCTCTCTCTCTCTCTGATTCTCTCTTTGTCTCTCTCTTTTTTTAATTTCATTCGTGATGGTTTTAATGGGAGGGGGGAGGGGAAAAATAAAATTACAAAAAAAAGGAAAATTTTTTTAATTATAGCCATCTATTAAAAATTTTTATTTTTTAAATAAATTTAAACACAAATGAAGCGATAAATTAATATTAATAATAATAATAATATATGTTCGTTATTATTAATTAATAATCGATTTAATTTACATAAAATTTAATTAAATAATATGTCAAAACGTTTTAATTCTAAAAAAAATTTAAATGGTTAAAATGGTAAAAAAAAAAAACAATTTTCTTTTTTAAATGAATGAAAATAAACGTGTCAGAAGAATTTTTTTTTTGTAAATTTTCTTTCTCCAAACTGGAATCGACTGGAAGGAAAAGAATAAATTTTTTTTTTTATTAACGAGAAACCTTACATGAGGTAAAGATCAAAAACATTATTTAGATAAGAGAGACTTTTATAAAAAAAAAAAATTTTTTTTTAACCTTTTTCTTTTTTTTATCCCTTTCCTTTTACAACAAACCTTTCAAACCGTTTAAAAAAAAAAAAAAAACGTTAAATTCTTTTGGAAAACAAAAAAAGAAAAAAAAATCCAAGAAAATTCTCGAAGATTAACGTAAAAGTTTTTTTTTTCTTTTTCCTTCTTCCTGCCTTCTTCTTCCCCTTTTTTTTTTCAAAGGATTCTAAAGTCACGTTTATTTACCAAAAAAAAAACATTTAATCATTTATTATTTAAGATTAACTTTTATTTTTTATAAAAAAAAAAAAAAAGAAAATTTGTTAACACTTTAAAAAAAATAAATTAAAAATTATTATTCAATTTTTAAGTGACGTCAAAAGCACAAATAATAATAATAATAATAAATGATAATTGTTAGAAAATAAAACAATAATGATGAGGGGAGGGGGGAAAAAAAATTACCATGGAAACTTTAATTTTTTTTTCTTTTTTTAAACGATTGTCGAAAATTTTTCTTTTTATCCTTTGATAAAAAAAAAATTCAAAGGAAAAAAATTAATTTATATTCGCAACGAGAAAAAAAGGAAAAAACAAAACAAAAACAAAAATTTTAATTAAAACGTTTAATCGAATCGTTTTTTTTTTTTTTTAAATATAATTAAGTATTCTAGGTACGAATTTATTATTATTATTATTGTTTGGTTAAAATAATAATAAAACCTGGGTGTGGAAAGGGGAAAAAAAAATTAGTCAAATTAAAACGTTTTAACAATTATAAAAATAATAATATTAATTAAAAAAAAAAATTTTTCATTTGTTGAATTTGAATTAGACGTTAATTTAACTCTAACCGACGCCATGTTTGTTTTTCTTTTTTTTTTTAAATTTTCATTTTTTTATACGGAAAGTCTCATTTAAAAAAAAAAAAACCAATATTAAAGAAAAAAAAGCGATGTTATAATCAATTAATTAATTAATGCGTATTTGATTTGCGTGAAGTGGCAGCAGACGAAAATGATTTTCCGTTTGTTTTTTGTTTTTACTCGAGTCATAATAAAAAAAAAAAAATTTTAACGTGGATTTTAACGATTATCTATCTGTTATCCATCTCTAGAGTTTTTTTTTGGATTATCAATTTTTAAAAAATAATACTGATAATAATAATAATAATAAATTATGTTTTTAGATTTCCAAGAGAACAGCAAACGCTTCCGAATCATTTTTATTTTACGGATTTTGAAAGGCACAACGCCGAAATTGCCGCTTTTCATTTAGACAGGTAAATAATATTTTTTTTTTTTTAAATATACAACGCATTTATATTATTATTATTATTATTATTATTATTTGTTTTTTTTGTCATTTTAATCTACGATTCATTTTCCGGTTTGAAAAAAAAAAAAAAAAGACTTTTAGATTTCCGAAGAGCTATGCCGGTCACTGGTAGGAAATTGAATATGACGTCAGAATTATACGCATTAGCGGAAGGAGAATTGCTCAAAACATTTTTTGTGTCTCCCTCAAATAATCTTTGCTTTCACGGAAAATGTTCCTATTATTGTGACACTGCACATGCCGTTTGCGGTAATCCGGATATGTTGGAAGGTTCTTTCGCCGCATTTTTACCCGATACCGATTTGGTACCTAGAAAAGTATGGCGTCATCCGTGGAGAAGAAGTTATCACAAGAGGAGAAAAGCTCAATGGGAACTCGGTAATCTATCTTCTCTACCCTCCCCACCCTCAAAACAATTTATTTTCAATCATTCGAATGATTTTAATTTTATATATAGATCCCAATTATTGTGCGGCCGTACGAGAAGTCGAACCTTACGATCGTGGCAGAAGACTTTTAGATTTAATGGACATGGCAGTTTTAGATTTTCTTATGGGTAACATGGACAGACACCATTACGAAACATTTAGAATATTCGGTAACGATACGTTTCCGATACATTTGGATCACGGTAGAGGTTTCGGAAAACCTTTTCACGACGAAATATCAATATTAGCTCCTATATTACAATGTTGCCTTTTAAGAAGATCAACATTATCAACGTTACTTAAGTAAGTAAAATAATTATCTTAAAAAAAAATTCAAAATAATTTTAATCAGCATTTTCAATTAAAAAAAAACATATTTTTTGCTATTCCCGCTAAATTTACTCTCATTGTTTCGCGCCAAAATACATGACGTCACGTTTTTTATTTCCAATGACCTTAATTTTACTTTCTTTCATTATTATGATTTTTTTTTTTTCTCAATGACCGTCGATTTAAAAAAAAAAAAAAGAAAAATTACGACTAAGAATTTTTAGAAGAAAGTCAAAACGTAATTGAAATACACATGCGTAAAAATGTTTTTTACAGTTAAAAAAAAATAAAATAAAACGAATTAATAGAAAAATAAATAAAATTTTGTGCTTACTTTGTTTAAATTTGAAATCTGGCGCGCAAAAAAAAACGAAATTTGATAAAATCAGGTAAAATTTATAAAATCAACAAAAATAATAATAATAATATTAAAATTGATTAGATTGCATATTAAACTAAAAAAAAAAATTTTTTTTTTTTTAGTTTCGTTCGTTTTATTATTTGAAAATAAAAAAAAACTATAATTAATTATTTACGCCTTAACTTTCATAACGTTTCTTTCTTTCTTTCTTTCCTTTCACCTTCCTTTCATTTTGTGTTTACCCCCCCCTTCCCCCCAGTTTTGCATGCAATAAAAAAAGAAATTAATCGAAGTTTCCAGAAAATGAAAAATTCCAAAAAAAAAAAAAAATTTTTTTTGTTTACCAACTCCTAAACCGTTATTAAAAAAATTTTTTTAAAGGGTTTAAAACGATAAAATTTATTTTTCGGTTCGTTTTCCAGTTTATTATTATTATCATTATTATTATTATTTCCATTTGCCGACAAAACACAAAACAAACGAGGTGATGATGATGATAATAAATTTTTTTTGTCTTTTTATGATATTGAGTCAAATTGAAAAATTTTATTTAAATTTTTTTTATTTTTTCGGAGGGAAGGAGAAGGAGAAAGGGGAAATCGACTTTTAATGTTTAGAAAAAAAATCAAGATTAAATTTCATCCCTTATTTTTTTATTTTTTTTAATATTAAAAACTGTTGGAAAGTAAAAAATGAAAGTTAAACGGATAGGGAGAGAGAGGGAAAAAAGAAGCATTAGGTAAAAATGAAAACGATGTGAAAAAATATGCAATGGAGGGCGTGTGTAGGGGGCGTATGCGGGAGAAGAGGGAGAGGAAGGGAGGGGCGAGAGGAGGATGACAAAAAAAACCGGGTAACATTCGTATTTCAAAATGCTTTTAAGGGATGATTATTATTCCCATTTATTTCCCTTCTTATTTGAATTGACTTTAATTTTGTCATTCATTCCATCATTTATTTATTCCCCCCCTTCAATCAACAATGGAGTAAGAGAGAGAAAGAGAGAGAGAGAGACTGAAGCCGTACCTAATGCCCTACAAAATTCCAAAAAAAAAAATTTTCTTTTTTGCTGACGATTTTCATCTTCCACTTCTTCGGAAAGAATTTTCTTCTTAACCATCATCATTGTTAATATTATCATCATTGTACCTGATTAAGCACCTCGTGTGTTGAAATATAGGAATTCAAGGTATCGGAATTCGATCCCGCGAAAAAAAAAAAAAAACTTTTTTTTTTCATAATTCATTGATCGATTTTTTTCTTTTACGTTGAGGAAAATTTTTTTTTTTCTTTTTCCGGTTAAATTTGCAGAAGTTTAAATTTGATTCTTAACACGTGAATTTGTTGTTTGACTTTGAATTGGAAAAAAAAAATGTAAAGTTTTCCTTTTTCTCTCTCTTCCTTCCTCTCTCTCTCTCTCTCACAATTTTTTTTTTTTTTCTAAGAAAATTCTATTTTGAAATTTATTAGAAAACGCGTCAAATACGCATTCGCATAAAATTTATTCTTCTTGTTCTTCTTGTAAAATTTCCTTCGATAATAATAATAATAATAATAAAGGTAAAAATGCGAAACGTTATCACATAAAAGCAAATCCTTTTTATTACGTAATAATAATAATAATTATTATTATTTATTAAATTTATAAAGGTTTAATAGTAAAATTAAAACCGTTGAAATCATAATGATGATATATTACGGTGATGGTTTAAAAAAGAAAAATTATTATTATTATTATTATTTTAACTACAAATTTAACACCTAATAACTTTTCAACGTCTATCAAACGTTATTTATTAATTGTAATTTAATAACAGTTATTTTATATTTACTTAAATATCCTCGTTTAATCGTGAAATAATAATAATAATATTTAAAAATAATTTGTATTAATGATTATAAATTATTTATTTATTCCCCCCCCGCTTTTTTTTTTTTAAACTTTCATTTTTTCTTTCTTTCTTTCACTTTATTTCCGGTTTCTTTTAAAAACGTTAATAATTTAATGTTGTTAAGTAAAAAAAAAAAATGATCTCGTTATGTTATTACCACGAGAAAAACATTTTTTTTTCTTTTGCGTTTGCGTTTTTAAATGACTAATGATGCGTGTTAAATCTTTAAAAACTAGTTTTCTTTTTTTTGGGGAAAGGAGGGAGGGAGGGGGAGTTTCGGTTAGATTAACCATCCGTAAAAAATGTAAAATCATTTTACAAAAAAAAAAAAAATACGTAATTTTTTCCTTTTCAAAACCTTTTAATTTCTCCCTCCCCCACCCCCTCCAAAAAAAAACCTTTTGCCAATGAACAACAACGATAATAATAATAATAATTTACAAAAAATATTTTATTAATAATGATAATGATAATAATATTTAAAAAAAACAAAAATATTAATTTGAAAACGTGTTAAAACATGACTTTTCAATTTTTCCTGATTTTTTTTTTTTTAATTCATAACAAAAACAAAAATAATAATAATAATCATTCATAATAAAAAACGTCACGTGAAAATTATTAACAATAATGATAATGATAATATTAAAATGGATTTTTAGGAAAAGGAAAAAATTAATTTCGGGGGGGATCAAAAAAAAAAAAAAAAAATTTATAAAATTGCCGATGGGATCATAACGTTCGATATCGTCTGTACATTTTTTTTTCAGGGGGCTCCCGTAAAATTTTAAAATTTATTATCATTATCATTATTATTATTATTAACATCATCTTTACGTATAAAGTGTGTGTGCTTGTGTAAAATAATTACGGTACAAGTTTTCTTTTTTTATAGGTTTTTAAAATGATGAGAGAAAAAATCATTGCCGGCATTGCCGGCAGCAAAAAAAAAAATTAAACATGTCGGACGTTTTTTATTATTATTATTATTATTATTCGTCAGAAATATTTATTACATGCATAGACCACGTACATAGTTTTTTGTTGTTAACAAAAAAAAAAAAAATTTGTTTTCGTTTTGCTCTAAATAAAAAATAATCGTCGTAATTATCCGCTTTAAAAAAAAAATGTATTCATAGACCGGAGGGAAAAAAAAACCCAAAGATTCACCGGTTGTTATTATTATTATCACGATTAATTTTCAGGTATCACAACGGTCCCGTAAAGTTAAGCGACGCAATGAGAGAAGCAATGAAATCTGATCCTGTATCTCCCATTTTGTGGGAGCCACATTTTGCCGCTTTAGATCGTAGAATTCGAATCATATTGGAGGGAATCAGAGACTGCATAAATAAAAATGATACCAATGACGTCATTGTTGATGATTTATCCTAGTCTTTGCTTAAATTTAGAAGACTTTTTTTTTTTTTTTTTTTTAAATAAATAAATATTTTATGTGATTTTTATAATAAATATAAGGAAGAAGAAAAAGATGAAGAAGAAGAAGAATAAAAATAAAATAAAGAAAATTTTTTTTTGTTTGCGACACGCGTTTATCTGAATTTTCTTTTCTGTTTTTCTGTTTTTGATTTGATTTATAAAAAAAAAAAAATTTTTTTTTCTCTCATAAATTTTGATAGTAAAATCTTTTGTAAATAATGAAAATTTTTTTTTTCGAAGACTTAATAATAATAATAATTGTTATTATTGTATAAACTTTTAGTTTCCGTCATAAAATTAAATTGTTGTAATTAAATATTTTATGATGACGTAACGAAACTTTAAAAAAAAAATTTCCCTTTTTTTTTTGTTTTATGGGTTTACAAAAAACTTTTTTAAAATTAAAAAAAAAACAGACCGAAAAATTGTTATCATTATTATTATTGTTTCGATATTA